GCTCTCTGGACAGGCCGCTCTGCATCATACCAGGAGACGCCATCACCACGCTGGGACCGATGTCGTCAAAGTGATCCATGCTCTGAAACACAGACACATGAATCGTGGAAATGATCTAACGAGTCACTCTGCAGTAACAGGACAGCCTACAGAGCGCGCTCACTCACCTTCAGGTTGCTGATGTGTTTGAAGACGAACGGGTTGTTGATGTTGATGGCCTTGCGGATCTTGTCGTTCATGGCGTTGATGTAGGTCTGGTAGACGGCCATGCACTTCCTGGCCAGAGACGAGGCGTAGTAGATGGGGATGTCGTGGAGCTCCGGGTGGTTCTGCCAGTACTCGTCTGGATCAAGCACACACATAGAACACACCTCGTACATTTACAGGTTCGAAGCTGGTTGTGAGGTGAGTCCACATGAGTATTCAGCTGTTACTTTTACAGTCAGAAAACAAAAAACAAGTCCAGTGACGTCTGCACAGATTTAATCCAACCAATAAAAACACAAAACATCACTTTACCCTCAGATAGTCTGCTGTGCCAGCAAAGAAAAATACTAGATCCACACTGTAGGATTAAATCTATTCTAAGATCTGTTTAAACATCTCGCTGGTATTTCAGACAAGCAGAATTACTTTTATTATAATTTGTTTAAAAACAGGACTTTGATCCATAAAGACAGTCACTGCAGGTGTGCTGATAATGAAGAATCTTTTGTGAGAGCTTTAAAATGTGTCGACACAACCGAGAAAAAAATAATTTGTTGACAATGTTTAACACTAAGAAACTGGACCTCCTGCAGTTTCAGCTGAACACAGAGAACTATGGCGTCAGCTGATCGTACCCAGGATAAGCAGCAGCTCCTGGGCTCGTCCCAGAGCGAAGACGGGGATCAGACAGCGACCCTCCCTGTTCACGATGTCGTGGACGGTGTTACAGAAACGAGCCTCTCTCTCCTCTCGCTTCTCGTGGATGTGAGTCCCGTACGTCGACTCCTGGAAAACACATGCACATAGATGTTAAAGTTCCAGCTGTTCTACCTGTTAATCTGAGTTCAAATAAAACAAAAAAAGAACATATGATGCATCATGTTTCCTTCAAGTGTCAGGTGTGTCACCACTGGAGCAGCAGAAGGTGAGTCCTCAGGTTTGTTGTGGCTACAGAGTCATGCTGCTACTTTACAAAGTCGGTTATAATCTGTGGTGAGGATCTAAAATACTCTGCTTCAGTGTGGCAACGTACAGGTGAACAGGGAAGGTGAAGCTGAATATCAAGAGTGTCCTCTGCTGGACGACAACACTATGACCGATTACAGTTCTTTTTTTTTTTCACAAGTTTGTATTTTAAATAAAAAGTGTAACCTGACGAATAATCTTAACACTAAAAGCTACCAAGCGTATGGCTGCTTGCATGGAATAATCAGTCATCAGTTACCATGAAACTAGTAACAAATAAGCTTTTGATTCGATACATTCACCTTGAATTTTAGAGGTTTTACCATACATAACACAGTCACTGACATTATAACAGGTTATAAATGAGAGACAATCACAACCGGCACCATGTGTAGCCTGTAAATCTGATTTTAGCTTTCAAGCTGATCACACAGTGAAGCACTGCAGCCACACTCACTGTGATGAGGATGTCTGGTTTCACGCTGGGGATCTCTGCTGCCATCAGATGTCTGTCCTCCTGACGGGAGAAATCTCCTGTGTACAGCAACTACACACACACAAACACAAAGGCACACAAACATCAACATCAACAGCTCAGCTCTGAGGCTGCAACCAAACACCTTCATTCTCCTTTTGTCTTATTCACTTTTTAAAAAAAATCTCTGTGAGGACGTTCACATCCTCTGATTGTCCCTTCGCCGTATCTCGTCCCTTTTGTGAACATGAACAGTATCAGTCAGAATCAGAAACACCTCATGCTTGACAACAGAGATGTGTGAACTCAGGATGTTTAAGATTATTTCCAACGCTGAAGAAGACTTTGTGTTCGTGTCCTTTCTAGAGAGTGAAAATGTAGATTTGTCAAATTTTGTGATATTTTAAAAAATCAAATCTGAGGCTGTAATTTTCTAGTAATGTGTCAATAGCTGCACACTTTCCCTGACATGTTCAGGCATCGCCACAGACAGTTATTTAGTTCATTCCTCTGCATCTCTGTTTTGATATGACAATAGTGTTTCTTATAGAAAGAAACATCAGGACGTCTCCTTTGTGTCAGAATTTATTCTTCTATCCAGACAGCGTTGTTCATGAGCTGCAGCCTTTTTCATAATTTAGCTCTCTAAAGGCGTCTCTGCTCCAAAACAGATGTTTTTGGGGCATTTTTGACAATGAAGAGGTGCAACGTGCAACAAAGGTCCACGAACTATTAATGTAAAAAACAGATATTCAGTGTGGAGGGAGGGCTGTGAGGTAACAGGGACAACACAGAGGATTCTGCTCCTTTTAATGAGAAAAACAGACTCAACGGGAACAATATCCACCCAAACAGAGAAGAGTCAGTGAAGTAAGTAGAGGCTGAATCTGGATTAGTGGGGTTCTTTTTTGACAGACCTTGACGCCAGCGATCTCGATCATGAACATGGCGGCTCCGAGGACGTGTCCAGCGTGGTAACACCAGAACTTAATGCCAGCTACTTCCTTCACCTCATGGAAGTTGATGGTCTCGATCTTCTCCATGCTGTCCTCCAAGTCTGTCTCAGTGTACAGCATGTCATCCGCAGAAATGTTACTGCAACACAGTGAAGTATCATTAACAGAATACACGGTAAAACATAGCATACTATGTTCATACAATAATCAACCACATCCACAATAAATCTGGTCCTCTACTCTCTACATCCCACCTGACTCTAACATAGTAGTACACCAACAACTTTTCTGTGGTCCTACATGATTCTGACTCCCACACAGTCCTACCTGACGTGTCACTACCTGGCTTTGTGGTCGTCCTCATGGACATCATACGTAATTGGACACTAGGTCTACCAGACTATGATGTAGTCCTAGCTGTCTCTACTGAAGTTCTTCTTAACTTTAAAGTAGTCCTACCTGACTTTGACGTAGTCGGACAGCAGCCAGCGGTAGATGGCCTTGGTTGCGTGTGTCATGAAAGTTCGTCCTTTAAAGCTGGTCTTCTGCAGGAACCAGGGCAGAGCTCCACAGTGATCCAGATGGAAGCTGAGGAAGGAGGGAAGCTGTTATCTTAAGTGCAATTAGCCGTCATGTCTGAATTTTTATGGTCATGATGACCTTTTGCACCATAATCATCTCTTTCTATAGTTTAACCAAGAATGACTGGTTTTGTCTAGTGTCTTTTTCACCGCACATCTCGGCCACTAATCCTAAAAAACAAATGTATTACAGCGCATATGTTCAGTGATTTGTAATGGAGGGTTTCTGAACTCACTGGCTGATGAGCAGCAGGTCGATCTCAGCTGGATCGATCAGATCGATGTAGGGCAGGGCATCCATCCCCTCTAGACCAGGGTGTATCCCACAGTCCAACTACAACCACCAAACACAGATGCTTTTACACACAGAGGTTAAATGCTTACAGCTGATTTGACAAACGACACAAAGGCATGTGTTACCATGATCTTTCGTCCCTTGAACTCCAGGATGATGCAGGATCGTCCAACCTCCTGACCGGCTCCTCTGCGCATAAAAAAACATTGTTTAGCCATCAGTTTATTGTCATCCAGATGTTGCTCATAAAGATGTAACTCAAAGTGACCAAAGAGAACATTTAAGTTATCCGTGACAACTGAAGGTTTATCTGACAGCTCAGACTCACTATAACCCTAAAAGTAATAGGGCTCAAATTCAGTAAAAAAATTAAGCAGTTTTAATAACATTTTACATTTCAAAGGGCAAACATCTGGGACAATATAAGTGACGTGAATCCACTAAGTTTGTATTGAAAGAATACCTCATTTGCATGAATTATCAATGACACTTGCATTCATTCTATACCTTAAAACCTTCTTAAATAAATTCTGCTTAGTGCCGAATTAGATATAACCTTTAGAGGACTCTTCAGGACGTTTAAAATGTATGTATTTGCGTTCACCAATAATAAAGAACAACTAAATATACGATTTCTGAATGGAGTTAGTTGTGAGAGCGGCTCACACGGAGCGAAGCTAGCTGCTAAAACAAGACAAAAGTTGTGTTTGAACTCACAGCGGGCGGATGAGCAGCTGGTCGCTCTCCTCCGCGGGAATCGTCACCTCAGCTTTACGTTTAGCTGCCATGTTTACTCCGACAAAGCGAACAAATATAACAAATAAACTATTTCATAACTCCGTTAGTTAGCCACTACGCGCGTCTCCATTAGTTTTGCTAATACGTAACTTCCGGTCCCTGCGGAAATTTCACCGTGTTGAACAGCTGAGAGGAATTTCTGTTCCACCTTTTCTCTGACCGGAAATGCATTCAAATAAATTCATGTTTTCATTTTGATTAAATTTTTCTTGATTAGCTTGAAATAATTGGTCTTAAATAAACATTCACGACTCTGACAATAGTACCATTAATTAAAAAAAAAAAAAGCTTATTAATATATATTTTTGCATTACTTCACTTCTTTTTTTTTTTTTTTTTAAGAGTTTCCTTCTGAATTAATACTGTAAAGTTTTACCTTCTGTCTATTGTTCTATATTTGTTTCTTGTTTTTTAATTACAAAGGTTAATCTTTGGGAGCATTTACATGTGAGCTCTCTGAGCTGATCTTTTTTTTTTTTGTAATTTCAGATAAACTGTGTAGGCAAATGCAAAAAATTAAAACAAAGCAAGCACAACTGAAAGAATGGATAAAAACAAGGCAAAAAAAAAAAATAAAATCAAGGAAAAAAGAGAAAGTAAGAGAAGAAAAAGAGAAAGGCATAATAAGGATAAAGTAGAAAATGTGCAACAGAAGAACAAAAAGAGCAACACAGTGATTTATTAACAAAATAAAAATAAAAATAAACAACAACCCCAACCGCTAGATTTCAGATGTTTTTAATAAAAGTGAGAATACAGTAAAATCTAATAAGGTGTTCATATTCTTCCCCCAACCTCTCATCCACAGTTTTCCTGCAACCCTTCAGCCAACATGTTAAAATAATAAAAATAATTTCCATTCAGTAAAAACTGGACTCAGATTTTTGTCTTGAAGCCATTTAGAAACGGAAACACAGTATATTTCAGCTGTAATGTCACTAGTTTGGTGCCAGCAGCAGAACAAGTGTCATGTTTATCAGTCTCTCACAATATCATATACGTTATATGGCAAAAAGTGTGGACGGCCTCCAAACCCCTGGTTTCAGTCTTTCTTTGAACCCGTTGCAGACTCCAAACCTGCGCCTCCCAAAAGGTGTTTTGGTGGTTGAACGACCTTTAAATCACATACTTAACTGTATTAAGTTTTAAATTCATGTGTTACAGTCATTCCATTGAGTTGTTGTAGTACACAAACCCTAAACTCCTATATGGACTGTAACCAATAAATTAAAGTGAATCTACTGAAGCAAGCACCTCAAAAAATAATATAAAGGCAGAATAAAGTATTTAGGCAGTATGTGGAATCTAAAAAAAAATAAAAAAATTGGGTGGTAAAATAATGTATCTAAAAAGACAAGACATCAGATTCACTGTGTGTTGTGTGTCATGTTGTTCAACTCTTCAATGAAACTCTGTTGCACTTCCACGAACCGTAACATGCCTATTTATTAACTGCTTTGTTATTTGAAGAATTTTACGTTTGGATACCTTAAGATCTCTTTTGAGTATTTAAAATGAATTTCTCTGAGTTTGAACAAGGATCTAAGGATGTAGAGAGACAAGCGTCCTGCAGGGTTCAGTGCTCATGTCTAAAATGTTTAGTATCAGGGAGTGAAGTTGGGACTGAAGTCGTCCAGTGAAACACACTTCAGTGTTTTGCTTCGGTTCGTCCTGATATGAGGTCGAGCTCGAGCCTCCAGAAGAGGGTCAGGTTTGAGCTTTTTGTCCAGGATGTTTCCACTCAGACTGACTGCTGCTGAAGAACAATTGAACAGGATGAAGGCGTGCATCGCATCCAATCACTCTGTGATGAAGTGAACAAAGGTGACAGGAAACACTCCCCGTCTGGTCGGCTCTCCTTCAATGTGACCGATCTGAAACACAGAACACAGTCAACACCTTTTTTGTTTGTTTGTTTACTATTGCAGCCACAGGTTTCTATCAATGATATAGCAACTAAATACTGACATCAAGCAAGTGGAACACCTGAACAACTGCCTGTTTTTTTTTTTGGGATGTTTTTTATCCAAGTGAAGCACAAAATCCGATTTCAAGAGAATCAGCAATGAAAATGTAAGTTACTGCCTGTTTTCATCAGAGACTATATGTATAAGATGAATGAAACCACTGGGACGTCATCCATTTGGTAGAAGGATACAGGTTTAAGGCTTTTTCATGTTAGCTTCACTTTTCAGACCCAGAGGCTGCATCCATCTTTTATATGCAGTCTTTGGACTTCATCCACCGGTTATGTGAAAATTAATCAATTGTTTGGTAACATAAACAGCAGCTGGAGCTAATTCTCTACTGCAGAGGAAGAGATGACAACATTAAAAAAGGATGAGTCGGAGCTAAAACACTGAAAAAAGTAGAAAACATGACGGAAATCTGACATTTCTGTTTGTATCATTTGTTTAAAAGATTTTTAGATTCTGACAGCTGAGATGGAACACTAATAAATGACTTAACTCGGAAGATCTGTATTTATTTCATGACTCAGAGCTGATTTAACACTTCAACTATTTCTAAACTACATCAGGGCCTTCAAGAGTTAGGCGGGGTGAACGCATTGTAAATAAAGAGCAGTGGGACGAATACCACGCTCACATATTTGACAACAGCAGCACTCAGACAGTCTGATGAGAGGCAGCTTGTTTTATGTTTTGGGAATTATAACAATCATTATACAAAAACATCTTGAAATAGAAAATAAAGTCAGGTCTTGTACTTGGGCAACATGCCACCAACTTCTTGTTTTTTTCTAAATTCGACATGTTAAGAAAGAACTGCATCAAAAAGCATCACGTGACATTTTTGTGATGGAAAAGGGACATTAGTTTAGACTCAGGACAAACGTACATAATAAATGTTGTAAATGATATTGATTTTTATCAAAACCTTTAGATAAGATTTCCAGTAGAACGGTATCAGTTGTTGTATTGTAACCCTCTTGTTTTCCCCTTCATTAGGAGCTATTATAATTAGCTATAATGATAAGCTAAACAAATCATGTTTAACAGACAAAGACAAGTCCAGTCTATGAGTGTAATGATGCTTTGTATGAAACTATCAAACAAAACAAAAGAAGAATAACTATAATTACCACCTTGCGGTTGTATGTCTGCACCATCAGTTTACATTCAGGCCACGTTTACACGTAGCCCAGTATTTACAAAAACAGATCTACGTTTTCAAAAATAACATTGTTCACACCAGATCGTTATCAAAAATATCTCCGTATACACAAACCAGCATAAACACGTCGTTAAAAGCTGCTATGAGCTGCCAAACCTATAGGGGGCAGTGTAAGCATAACACCATGCTAGCCAATCAGAATGACACGAGGGTCGTTTGTTTGGACCGACAGAGAAGTGGGGCTACTCCTGAATGTGGTGTTAGAGCACAAAACAAGTAAAATACTTGAAAATCTTGACTTTCTATCACAGTAGCCAAACTGTTAACATGGTCGCACACATATGACGCTGATGACGCTTTTGTCGCACACTGTGATGTCAAACTCCGTCTCCTTCTGTCTACATGCAAACGTAAAGACGGAGTTTTTCCAAATCTCCAGTCTGGCCGGAGTTTATTAGATGTGATCGTTTTCAGTGACTTGTAGCTTTGTCTACGTGTAAACCAACGGTCCAAACGCATTGAAATATCACCATTTTTGCTACGTGTAACTGGGGCCTCAGACCTTTTGGATAAAATGTCATAATCTTATCATAATTAAACATTTGTGTGAAATGTTATCATAATAAATGTATGAATTCTTATGTTATAGCCAGAAAAAGTGTTTTGTGAGGTCACAGTGACATTTTGACCACTAAAATCTAATCAGTTCATCCTCAAGTGAACATCAAAGTTAAAGAAATTCCCTCCGTGTGTTCACAAGATCAGGACGTATGAACAAAAACACAGTGCCTCAGGTTGCACTCCTTCATACAGATGCAGCACTAATTATGTGTGGGTGGAGGTGGTGGGGGAGTGTTTGCTGTGCTGGAGGTCTCCGTCACTCACCCACCACACGTTGTCCTCCTCCCCCTCCACCACGATCACCTCCCCCTCACTGAACGTCAGCTCGTCCGGATTATCAGCAAAACAGTTGTAGATGGCCTTCACCCTCTGAGGCTTCTGCTTCTACACACAAACACACACACGCACATACTTTACTTCATATATGCTGTACATTTAAATTATGTTGGTGAATGACTTAATCAAGCTGCAGTCACCCAAAAAACCTCTAATTTACAGTGTCACTACTTGGATATTTTGCAGAAGGTTGAAGATTATTACTGAGAAACAGACAGCAGTAACACTGGATAAAAATTTAGGGTGTGTTTGAGGACTTACAGAAAAGGCGGTTCTGGGTTTGGGTGTTGGAGGAGGCGGACTTTGGGGGGATTTGGATTGAAGCCCTGCGACAGAAAACAACACCACGACATGAACTCACAGGATCACAAACAGAAATCGAGATTTGAGGGAAGATGCAGGTCATTTATTTCCTGCTGAACACTGCTGCTGAGGCACTGATTATTGTGAAACTCAACAATTCTGGATGTTTTTTCACATTTAAATTCTTGTGGGAGGGTTGAGTCTCATTCAGTGGAGCTCTAGCGATGAATGAGTGCAGAAGACATGGATGGTACATGGAATTTATACAACAACTTAGCAGAGCTTTTGAGTTTAACCTAACTGGAAGAACTAGAGATAAAGGCCTGGTTTTGTCTGACACTGAGGTAAACAAATAAATCGGGGTGCTTGTTTGTGTGTTTGTGTACCTCGTTTGTCCACAGATGCTGTCCTGAGTGGAGGTCTCTGAGGAGGACGTTTCACTGATCTGAAATTAGGATACAGATCACTTAATTCCATTCAAGTAAACACAATAAAACTAATCTGATCAGTACACACAAACCAGTAAAGAGCATTTCTGACCAGTAACACATCAGACAAACACTAACCAGTACTAACAAGTCACAGAAACTTGTACTGACTGGTGAGAAACCAGTTAAGGTTGGTACAATCCAGAAGAGAACGGCAGTGTGGAAACCAAATGTACCGACCTCTACCCATTATAGACCAGCACGAACCAGCAGAGACCAGTACAGTGCAACCCAGTATGTAAGTAAAATCCGGTACGTACGCGGTGGGAGATTTGGGGGACTTGGGTCCTGGTGGTCCTGACGGTCTGCTGGTCTGGTGGCTGGGTACAGGTGGTGGGAGTGGTGGAGCTTTGTAGTGGGGGGGTGGTGGGATGGAGGGGGCTGGGGCGGCGGGGGCAGAAGGGAGACCTGTTGGTGGGGGAGGCAGAGGAGGGAGGGGGGTGTGCTTAGCTGATCCCGACTTGGTGTCCAACACGCTGGACCTCTTGTTGAATGGAGGAGGAGGAGGAGCTGCTGGGAGCACTGGGTGAGGAGGAGAGACATGTTTAGGGTTCACATCACTTCACGAGTCACACAAGACAAAAGAGTAACGTCTGGAGACGCATCCTCGGCCGGCAGGCTGTGTGCAGCAAAACCCAGATAAAACCAAATAAACTTTGCAAAGCACTTATGAAATTCAAACAAACTGACAAAACTGACTTCAAGGAAACACAAGTTGATCTCAAAAAGACAAAAGAGACGGCACAAAGACACACACTACTACAGAGAGATGCAAAAATACTACAGAGATGTGTAACTACTGGAGAGTAGGTGGACATGCATCTGCATCATCTGCATCTGCTTCAGGCACAAAATGTCGAAAGAAGACAAAAAGCTACAAGACAGAGACAAAAAAAAATACCACAAGAAGATACAAAGCTACAACAAAAACCACAAGACTGCTACAAAGAGACACAAAACAACTACAAAGGAACAGAAAGCTACTACAAACAGACACAAGACTACCACAAAGAGATGCAAAACTACTGCAAAGAGGCACAAAACTGCAACAAAGAGACACACAACTCCTACAAATGGACACAGGAGAACTACAAAGAGATGCAAAACACAACAAAGAGACACACTAGTACCACAAAGAGATGCAAAACTACAAAGAGAGACATAAAGCTACTACAAAGAGATGCAAAACTACTACAAAGAGGCACAATGCCGCCACAAAGAGACACACAACTAAAACAAAGAGACAAACAACTCCTACAAAATGACGAAAACAACGGACAAAAACTAACTAAAGACGATGCAAAGAGAGGAGAGACACAAAACAATCCCAAAGAGACACAAAACAACCAATTATGCAAAGCTGCAACAAAGAGAAATGAAATTACAACAAAGAGACACAAAGGTACTGTATGGGGTACAGAGCGAGTAGAAAGACACCAAAAATGTCTGCAAAGAGACAAACAACGATTAAAGAAGATGCAAAGCTACTACAAAGATTCACAAAGCTACTATAAAGGGGAAGAAAACTATGACAAAGAAATGCAAAGCTGCTACGAAGCAACACAGACTGACTACAGATCCATACCACTCCGTCACAGGCCACACTCACCGTACATGGAGGAGTTCCTCTCAGGGGTTTGAGGGTTGGGAGGGTCGGAGGACGAACGCTGTCTTCCCACTGATTCTATGGTAGCAGGTTTACTGTGAGCCGGACCTACATGGACACACAGCCACATGTTTATTCATGTAAATCAGGCGTATCAGTGAACTGTGTGTTACAGAGCTGATAACTTGTACCTGCACAGCCTGAAGCCTGGTTCCTTCCATAAAGGTCTTTCATTTTACCACATGTTCATAATAAAACCCAGATACACAACAAATGACTCCTCTGACCTCTGTTCGGTGCTCTGGGAGGCAGCGGCGGCGTCGGTCCCAGCGGCGGCAGGTTCAGGTCCAGCATGGTGCCGTAGGTCTCGTTGCTGATCATGGTGCTTTGGACGTGAGGCCTCTGTTTGTCCCGGGCCAGGCCGGCGGCGTCCCGGGCCAACGCTGCCAGGTTGGGCTGCATGGCGCTGCTGCCGGTCACGAAGCAGCTGACCGGACGGTCCTCCCGGCGGTTGGGGATGGGCTGCACAGAAAACACTCGGTTACACACCCTTAACTCAAAGATGAAGTTTAAACAAAAGACCTCTCAAAAACCCAGCCCACCTTGTCCTCCATCTCGTCCTCGCTCTCGTCCAGGTCGTCGTTTTGGAGACGCCACTCGTACTCAACGTGAACGTGGACATTAAACTTTCCCGTCTGAGCCTGAGTCAGCTGGAACAAAACGATACTTTCAGTACAACATGAAACAAGAGGCATCAAGGAAAAGCTAATTGTACTGATAGATAAACAGTATGACTGCTGGAAATTAAACCTTTTAAGGGAAAAACACAATAAAATAGATGCAATTAAATTTAAATACATAAATAACATTAAAGAGGCTTTTACTGTTGAACAAACCTGTTATTACTGCAGCAACGTTCATTAAAAAGGTTTCCAACTAGACGGGTAGCTTATCTAGCATAGTTTGGCCCGGGTAATTTGCTTTATTATTCATAGCTTAGCTTCCTGTAAATAATTCAGTTTCAGTGTTCAGTGTAATTTGTCTTTCACTTTTTGCTAAAAGTCACATTTTGAGCAAAGTACAGCTAATTTAACGAACGTACTTTGCTTGTTTAGTCAGATTTAACTTAGTCTAGCTTTAGCTTATTTTACCGTAGTGAAACATTCATGTTTCATATTTGTTTACTTTAATTAATTTAATTCAGCTCAGTTTTGGTGCTTTGGTTCACTTCAGTTTACTACACATTTGCACTCCCGTTCACTTTACTGGTAAACCTGTGAAATCTAATACGAACCAATACAACAGCTGTGGTATGAATTCTACTTTTCATAGGCTTTTTACACTTAATGTTTATGCTGTACATTGATTCTGCTGTACAGTGTGAATTTGTTGTCAACTAGAGACTGCACACGCAAAGACTAGCAGCAACATTTGCACTTGTTTCAATAAAATTTCCATTTTTAATACTTAATATATTGTGTTTCTCTGGCCTTGCCGAGTAAGTTGCAAGTGTAAAAATGTTTGTTTACAGGAAACTGAGAAATATTACATGTATAGTTTTAAAAAAGATATCTGCATGGAATGTTCAGCACCACCTTAAATAGAAACATAAAGTGGATTAATCACCTTTTTGACAACGTGAACAAAAAATAGAAAATGCAGAAGGTTTGCAAAGCGTTATGTATCCTGAGCTGTTGCATTCGATTGCATTTAGTTTCACAGGTGTTCCTACTAAAATGTCCAGTGGGTATAAAATTTGAAGTCATAGAACCAACAGTAGGTACTGTGCTACAACAGAGAGCAGCCTTGATGCACAGAAACCAGCAGATAATGTTACATAAACTGGACACCACAGTGAAGTCTCACCAGTTCTTCACACTGAGTGTGTCGCAGCCGTTTTGCGATGTCCAGCGGTGTTTCTCCTGCTTCGTTTGCTGTGGAGACAAATTCGAACTTCTAAACTGAGACCTTACAAATATAAATAAATAATAATAAAATAATAATAAAATAAATGTAATTATTCTAAGTTAAATGAGAAACTGTCACCTGGGGCCTGTATGTATGAGGATAAATAAAAAATTAAAAAATGTAAAAAAGGCTCAGACATGTTCTAATTACTGTTTGTATGACTGCTCCATTATTCTGCTCATATTCTTAAAACATTTATTAGGTTTTTAAAATTTTTTCTTCATTATCATCAGCATTTGTTGTTTTTCTTTTGCCCATATATAAGCATTACTTAATATCAATTGACTTTTGCACTCTTTGGCCTCAAGGAATGAATTGAAATGTATTCATCCATTTATCTGTATTTATTCTCCACCGCCGTTATGCTGATTCTGTACACGGAGATTAACATGGAAACTTTGAGGAGTGTTTGGTGCCAGAGACTCAACTCAAGGGAGCAGCAAAGTCTTGAAAAATCCTCTTTTGATGGCAATGAATGATTATAAATGTAACTTCTAAAACAAGTGGCACATATTTAGTAATTACCCGAGTGCACCGCATTCAAAAACTTGAGACCTTGATCTGCATCTCTTCTAATCTTGAACTTATATTACTGATGTTTTATTTCCCCCGAGACATCAGCTACACAGATACAATAAGAACTGTTTAGGTTTGTGTGTAGTTGAAAGCAGTTGTCATCATTTGAAGTTTACGAAGATTTACATAAATTCAGGAACTGCATAAACATTTAACATTAGTGTTCACCTTACATGCGATGTGACACTAAATTAGCATATATCTGAATGGAGTTTGGTCATGTAGAGGGAGAGAGCATGGAGCTAGTAGAATTTGTAACCAGACGGAATAGCTATCATGGTGACATTTGTAAACAGGTTCTTCTCCACATATCCTGTTTCCACTCAGACAGTGTTTGTGCTCTTACTGATGGAAACTGAAGCTTTTCCTCTCAGCAGCAGCTTGAGACACTCGCTGTTGTCTGTCAGGCAGCAGTAATGCAGCGCTGTGCTTCCTTTGGTCGTCTTCTTGTCCAGGGTCGCACTGAAACACACACCACATCTTTATGATTAACACACAAACACACTTTACATCGTGCAAACAGCTTTTATCTCCAAGTGACAAGGGTTCTCTCAGTCTTCTGTGTGCAGGTTTTTCAGCTGACAGTCTCAATGTGCCGTCGTTACCCGTTTTGTGCGAGGAAGTCGACGATGTGCAGCGAGTTTCTGTCGACCATTCGGACCGCCAGGTGGAGCACCGTTTCTCCGGGTTCCTGACAGAAACCAGCACAAAGACATTTAATCTACAAACACACAAAACACCAAAGTAAAACAAAGTATGAAGGTAAAAGACAAGGAAGGATTGCTGAACGGGCCTCACAGGAAAAGGGTCAGAGCCAGAATATTTGTGGCTGCAAAGTCAAGCCAAATGACAAACAGACATAAAGAGACGTAAAATGTCTAAAAACAATGACAAAGAGACAAAAATCATATAAACAGGGTAAAAAAACGACCAGAAAAACAATTAAAAACACGTAAAATAACTGGAAAGAGATAAAAAATGATCACAAAGAGACACAAGAAAGTAATAACAGGATACAGAACGACTGCAGAGAGACGAGGAATGATGACAGACGTACACAGCTAAAAAACAAACAAGTGTTAATAGATGCAAAACAGCTACCATGAGAGGCAAAGTGAAAACAAATAAATGGAAAAATGACAGCGACGAAACATATCAACCATGAAGCGAGACAAAATGAGCACAGAGGCACAAAACAAAAAGATGCAAATGAGACTGCAGGGACAAAAATGATTGCAAAGAGATGCTAAACAGCTCCATAGACATGCAAAATGAACACAAATATATATAAAGGGACTGCAAAGAGACACAACGCAACCATAAACAGCTGCAGAGAGAAAGACTACAGAGAGATGAAAAATAGTCACAACAACACAAAAGCTACAGAAAGACAAAACTATAGAGAGATACAAACAAACACAAAAAAAGCAAAAGTGATTCAAAGAAACACAAATCATCTTCAAATTGATTATAGAGACACAAAACTGCCACAAGAAGATGCAAAACATCTACAGAGAAAAAAATGGCTGCAATAAGACAAAAAAATTAACCACGAATGGAGCCAAAATGACAAAAAGAAACATAAGGGAACAGGAAAGTGATGCAAACTGATCATAAAAGGACAAAACTACTAAAAACTAGGAGGAAAACAAACACAAATGAATGTAAAATGGCGGCAAAGACACACAAACCACATCATTGTAGTCATTTTGTGTCACTTTTACTCTCTGGCTCTGGGTTAGGCTCCTCTATCAGAGGCCTTTAATAACTCAGGGACCTGTTGTCTTGTAACCAGCTCATGGCTGAGTGTGAATGCATGTTGCCGTACGTGTTCGTTGGGTTGTGGGATGGCCTCCATCAGGTCCACCCCCTCGGCGTAGACCTGGATCAGAGACAGGATGTCTCTGTTTCTGACGGCCTCGTACAGAAGCTGCAGCCTGGATGCAGCGTCGGCACACTGCCGCCGGGCGAAGCGCTTCTCCGTGTACTTAGCTGTGATGTAGTCTTTCCTCATCTGCCTGGAGAACAGTGCAGAGAGCAAGTTACTATGACAACCTCTCATTTTCTACGAAAACCAGCCAGCGCTGTGTGTTCGTCACCTACATGTCGCTTGTCGGATTCGGTTTGGTTACATCCTGCGCCGACAGATCTGCCTCCATGATGTCGTTGAAGTTAGCGTTCCCCACGTTCTTCGCCAACTAAACACACAAAAACACCACATTAGTTTAAACTATAATAAAATAGCACCTATAGGCGGGATATTTATTATATTCTATTCATTATGTGGGATATCAGGTTAAAAATGACATTTTACTTTTACTGCTGTTTGAGAAAAAAATTACATCTTAAGATAAACAATGCAATATTCTGAGAATTAAAAAAAATAAAATCAACGCATAGTATCACAAAACAATGACATGTAAAAAAAAACAACAAAAAAAACCATTTTGTACATTAATTTTTCAAACATTCTGACTTTATTCTATTTTATTTTTTACATACTGTATTTAATTACTCTTGCACTACTCTTACTACACTAACTTGTGATCTTCCTTCACAAAATTTGGCCTTTTTTTTGGAAAATATTTGGTCTTTATTCACAAAATCTGCACATTTATTTCCTAACACTGGTCTTAATATTTGCAGACAAAAACGAATTAAAAAAAAAAAGTAAAACAAGAACCCAAAGGCAAAAACCCCTGATCCCTGATTTCCATCACTTCTCTGGGGACAGTGAAGTGGACTCACCAGCAGCTCGGACGTTCCCAGGACGTCCAGGTCCAGACTCTGGATCCTGGAGTAGTGGACCCCCATCTCCCTGTGGATCCCCGAACACTCGATACAGATCAGCACCCCGAGGTTGGTGGACAACCAGGTGGGACCTGCAGGAAGGAGGAGTTGATTCATTTATCTTTAAACAACCATTCGCTGTAACAGCGGGTCATACTGAGGAGGAGGACGCATCACATTTTTAGAATTTTCCAACAACTTTTAACATTCATGACTAAAAAAGGCAACAAAGTTAAAATGATGAATGAAAGTTCTGAACAACTACAACTGATGGGACGACAGTAAATTCTTACAGAAACTATAGTGCACGTAGAAAAGAGTCCTAAACTCAGAGAAGACATTGATGAACATCAGGTACAAATGACAGAGAGACACAACTAGAGACTCTTCAGTCTGTGGGTGGTCTGATAAAGCACAGGTCGGGGTCTCAGCCGTACATACAACCCCGTCACTCAATGAGAGGTTTTTGCACTGTGAGGTTGTGCAGGAGGCTCTAAAAATAAAGTAACTGTAACTGACTGCAGGTTTGATTTCAAATCATTTAAAGACAAAACGGCCCACAGAGCGACGGACAGCTTGGCTGAAACGTGTGGATGGTTTACTTCCTGCAGCAACTGCGACAATGAAGCGCTTCTTCTACTGAAACCAGTCGGACCGGCACAACCAACAGCTAAGGAGAGAACATATGTCTTGTCTTTGACTTGGAGTGCACATCAGGCCAGAGGAGGAGATACTGCTGCAGTCTTAGACACTGACACATACCAGAGATGTTATAAAGGACAAACTTAAAAGAATCCTGAAGAGAGATCCATGGAAAGAACAGATGCTGAATGTGTGTCTCATGTCCAGCCCTCCACCAGAAAAGCTGATCATCTGCTTTTTAACAGCTAAACCGGGCCTCTTCCAGCCAATCGTACTGCTGCACCGAAGCAAACGCCGTGTTGTTGAACTATGTGCATGCTCAGTAGAGGTATAACCTTTGGGGATAAAATGCTCTTTAAACCTGAATCAGATTTGACACTTTTCTCTATCCTGAGGATGATCTGAATTTCAGTTCTGGTTCTCGCCCTGATAACTTGAAACAACGGCCCTAGGGTGTCACCAAGATGGCTGCCGGGTGGTAAGACTTGCCCTCTCCATCAGCACTGACCCACAGCTCCACAACTGCACCAACTGTACTATCAGCAGCAGTAGTATTAGCAGCACTGTTAGTAGATGTACTGACTTGGAGCTCCGCAGTCGCAGCAGCCGTCGTTGCCGCTCATCCTCTTCACCTCTCCTACGATGGCTTTGGTCAGCTCCTGGACGATGTTGTTCTCTCCTTCGTCCTGGTCGCCTTTGAAGGCCTTGTTGAGCGCCTCCTCCTTACTGTTCTGCAGCACTGACACCCAGCTGAAACAAACCAACCGTCAGAGCAAACACCAACAATAAAACCTGCCGCCGAGCCCACATCTGTTGCTACTTACACCTGACACTCCGCCTCGTCCTCAGCCTGGAAGTGGTAGGTTCTGTCGTCTGAGGGAAGGACACAGAGAGAGAGTAGCTTAGACGTCAGATAAAAACACTCAGGCCTTGTTTTAGTTTGACTTTCCAGCTTGATGGCGTACGTGAGAACAGGTCGAAGCTCTTCTTCTCGTCGGGATTCCTCTTCACCTGGCAGGTGAGCAGGTTGAGTTTGGCTGGAGGTCTGTTAGCCTGCAAGACAATGAACAGGGAGGAAGGTGAGACGACAACATGACAAAACACCCGAGTGACTGAACCTGACAAAAATGGAGAAAAGTGTTTCATATCAAACAAATTACATGCAAATACAGACAAAATACAAAAACTGAAACTGTGAATGATTCCGCATATTTAGCCACAATATGGACGTTGGATGGATTTTAGTGAAATGTAGAACAGAAGTCAGTGTCTCCAGAAGATGAACCCAAATGACTTTTAGTGATCGTGTTAGAAGTTGCCACTGATCAACACATATTCGACACAACATTTGGTGCAGACATTCACGGTCACCAGAGGATGAACCTTTGTGATCTCATGACCACCACCATGAGGTCGATTTGTGCTTCTGTCTTGATGACTATCCACTGGATTTTATTTTAGTTTTAGGCATTCATGTTCTCCTCAAGATGAAATGTAATAACTTTGGTCACTTTCAGCATATTTTGTACAATCCTTTGGTTTATGACCAAATACCTGCAAAACCTTGTATGAAGTTGAAATTGAAATTAATAGCCAATTAATCAATTAATTGATGGGCAGAAAAATAATTATTGAGTGGAAACAGCAGCTCCTTTGTATGTGCAACCAGAAAAACAGTCCCTATGATGGTGTAAAAGGAAGGTTTACTGGAACATAAGCATCATTATGGTTCCTCCTCTGGGGACATCAGTTGTTTTTAAGGTACAGGGGATTTCTGTCTGTACAGCAGACGGCGATTTTCAACATTTAAATCCCACAGGAAGCTCTTTGTATTTCAAAGTAAATCTTTTTTGTCCAATTCAAAAGCCCAGAAGTAGGGACGCAATTTTAAAATAATTTACGTAGTTAATGCTGTGAAACCAATACGACAATGGATTAAATTAAATGGTTCATAGCTACACACTGTAAACTCATTTATAAGCTGTGGTAATATCAGCTAGTGGAGGGGCTTCTGTTCTCTTTGAGCCCTAGTTTAAGTCTGGATTTATTTATATTTTGTCAAACTGGTGCCTTTTAAAGTATCCGACTACTACATGAGCAGTTCCTGTTTGCAGCGTGTCATGGATATACACACAGTTGCTGAAGAAAACTTGAATAAAGTTCTTAATTGTCAAGCAGATTTAATGTCATTTGTTTTATTTACTTTGTCTTTTGGTTTGTCTTTCTGACGTCCACTTTTAAAATATCTTCCAGAACAATGAGTTAAATTAGCAGGAACGACATGAAATATTTTACTCAGGATGGGGCTTTAATTTTGACCAACATCACAATCAAAGTCCTGATTCAATTTTTCAGTTTTCCTGCTGCACATAGGTGGTCCTGACAACCCGAAAATAAGATGGATTATACCAGAATGAGTTCTATGATAGTGAAAGCTGAAGCAGGAAAGAAAGACTGAAAACTCAGAGAGAAGTAATGAAGGTTCTTTAGAGACTCTCTTCCCCGTCACCCCTCTCTAATCAGCATCAGAATTTAATGCAAACTCATCCTCTTCCCACCCTTCTCTCTGTCATCCTTTTCCTTATGCTCTTCCTTCTCCTCCTTTTTCTCTTCCTCTGCTTCTTGCTCTGTCCTGATTGGCCGTTTGGCTCTTCGTGTTCAAACTTAAAAATAAAAGACAGAAATGAAAAAAAGAAGGGGAAAAAAAATAAGAAACTAAATTTTAAAAAGAAATGCACTGTTTATCCCCAGCTGATGTAGATGCTAAACCCATGAGAAGACGTCTGGTTGGACATGCAGGCAGGAGGGCGGGAGCTTGTCATGCAGGAGGACCAATGGGAGAAGAGGAGGAGGCGGCGTTGTCTTACCGTCCCGTGGCAGATGGTCAGGAAGCCGTTCTTCACAGAGCACTTTCTCTTCTGCCAAACCTTCCTCAGTCTGAGGAGGAGACACACGAGGAACACTGAGGATCAGTATTTAATGAAACTAATTAATGCAAATGTCTTGGAGAATGATACCTGTAACCATGGCAACTGTTCACAAAGATGAGAGAGTGTGGCCTCAAAATGATTAGAAGATTAAAAAATAAATAAATAAATAAAAATAAATAAAAAACGCAAAACCTTACACTAAAATATTTTACATTTTTGTGCCTGAAAGAAGGAAAACTAATTATACATTTTTACTGTATGTACACTAAATCAACATCATCTGCAAAAAATAA